TCAGCTTATGGTAACTGACAAGTTGTGGTAATAGCAACGTGTAGCCCAAATCCAGATTAAGCGTAATTCGTAGGTATCAGTGTTTTAACGGTAGGCCTGACTCTGCCCCCGGCATTGCTGAAGTCCATGGGTGACGGTAGCCACTCATCAACAGATGAGCCGTATGTTCGACTGCCTAAAAGGAAAAAAAAAACAAATAAAATATAAATTGCTTAGGAGCACACGTAATACCGCTACTGCCTATTTCTGCAGTAAGACTCTCCTCATAAGTTCGAGTTAGGATAAACGGAATACTATGAAAAATAGATCTCTAAAGAAATCTACCTAATTCCTCGTAATCTAAAGGACTGTTCAAGCTACGCTCGGACGGGGATTACAATACACAACGCCATCTACAAATGTGGAATGCTAAACTGTTCAAGGAATACCCGGTCAACATTAGCGCCAAAAAAAACAAATAATTTACAGGAATACACTCATCTGCTTCCGTTGACAGCAGAAAACTTGTAGTCCTTTCAATACAGGTGATTTGTCTGTAAAGAGTTTTTTCAATTCCAATTCGACCTCCTTAAAGAAATCACATCGTCATTGAATAGCACAGGGGGCTTTCGTTAAAGCCTCATAAACAATATCCGTCCCTAAATAACATAGTTTACGAGCTTGAAAGCTCCGTGGGGCGATATTACACGTCACACGTGGTCAGCCCAAGTAATAAGATGTTGCTATCTCTGTTGTTACTTATGAATGTACTTTTATGTGGCGATTAACGAGGCGATGGTATTTATAATAAACAACCTGATTAAAAGTACAGTTATGTTTTAAAAAAATACGACTGTCGGGGCTTTTTTGAGTTTTTGGGAGTTTTTGTGAGTTCGGTGTTCCGGGCTGTTTGCGAAGAGGATATATATATGAAACTGATATTAACACTGATTTGGATAAGATTTTAATAGAAAGCGACACAATTAACTAAAATAAAACAAAATGAGTTGAGAAAAGTACAGATAAGCTAAGGTTGACATATTGCCGGTCGTCTTCGCGCGCGCCGAGGGCGCGTGTTTTCTCGGCTCAGAGAGTTCTGTCTCAGCGGGGGGTTAGGCGGCGGCGGGGGCGGTATCGCGCGTTCGGATATTTGGCTCCGTTATAAAGTACGTTTTCTCGTATTAGCGCCATTTAGACGTGAATTACTTTGTATTTAATTTGTCTATTTGTCTACTTTGCATTTCTTTGTATACAATAATGCATACTCTCTCTCTCTCTCTCTCTTTCTGTTATGATCAATTAAACAGCTTTTTAGGCAGCGGCGCAAATTGAAGTCGTAGAAAATGGTTATAATCTATTGAGTAATATATTAATAAACAGAACGACCAGGGTTATGGATCTATTTAAAATATTCTCAAGTACTCAGTAAGGCATTAGTGACTTCAGTAATGATTTGATCCATCAAGGACTGACTGAAACAAGTCTTTGTGAAAAATATATCAAAAGATTGGCACAGGTTTGTCAACATTCTTGGCCAGTTGTGTGCGACCCTTAGCAACATTACCTATATTCCATAAATAAGAATGGTTCTTTCCTTGGACCGTGGATCGCTAAACACATATGATATGCATCCCATTGTTTGAAGACTCTTCACTTTGTTCCTGAACACTAAGCCGTCCCAGACCTCTTGTTTGAAGCTCGAACCACTGCACTAATTAAAGATGTAAAGTATCTACACGCAACCCATTTATTACTGTTACAAAAATTTACACTAATATTTTCAAATAGAAAAAGAAAAAAATCTGTTATTCGTTTTATCTGTGATATCAAAATGACATTGGAAAATATAACAATTATCTAATGTTTAATACGGCACTGTTAGGTAATTAAAACAACATGTTCCATACAATAGACAGAGAATCCTGTCAATGACATTTTAAGTTACACGTGACCTACTTTTTTGTCTCTCAATATTTATAAATTTTGCGAGTTTTATTTTTATTCGCAACCTTATTTCTGCCTGCGGGACATATACCATTAAGCACCCTGGGTTTCTTATCAAAATACGCTTCTATTGCATTACGTTGTCCAATTCGATTGCACAGAGCTTTCGTCTCACGTACAATGCGACTCTGAAAGGAACGAACCTCACCCCATGCTGATGTGTATAGGCAACCCCTTTCAATCAAGATAGTCGTAAAGTCTTTTGCTGGCTAAAAAAAATTAACTTCAAGTAAAATCCATTTTTTACGCTTACAATCATAAAATGTTAACGACTTCTGTCGCCTACCCAATAATGTCCAGTAGACCACAACAAACCGCTTGTGGTCCTATGAAGTTTTATGTGTTCTTTTTCAGAAATGGGAAACTATACCTTATCGACTTTTATGTAAAATTCAGTTCGGCACTTCACTGAGTGGTATATAAAACTGTTGATTTCTCGAACAATTTATTATTGCCGAAACAGCTTTGAAGGCGAAACTACGAGTGTAATAATATAATAACGCTCCTCTGTAATATGTTTGGCAATTTTCGTGATATTCTGATTTGGAACTAGTTAGGCGTTGTTAAGCTTCAAAGACATTTTTAGTTGTTTATACGACCGAAGATAGAGAGAGAACATAGATTAGATACCACTACCGTGTCTATTTCTGTTTTGAAGCAGTAATGCGTTACGGTTTCAAGGGCGGGGCAGCCTTGTACTATAGAACTGAGACTTAGAACTCATGGCTCATGGCATTTACATATGTTGTTGACGTCTAAGACTAGTGAGCAACACGAGAAATATATACGCAACGCGATCGCTGCACGGCTTCTATTTAAAAATCTACACTACAAAAATATCTTTACTAAAATCGCGATGTTTCCATTGATATTTTAGGGCCGCAGTGATGTGGAAAGATAAATTTAAAGGCGTATGTTGTCGATCCTCATGAACGAGACAGACTAGCAAGAAATCATTTCATTTAGGGCGGATTAGGTTGGGAGTTCATTGAATATCATCGGTGCTATTATCATTCTGCCCATCTCTACCAGAATTCAAGGCGAGCATCGGCATTACTATCGTGGTTTCTTTATTGCTTTTTGCTTAGATACGTGGACGACTTCACTGTCCATCAGATGTTAAGTGGTGACCAGAGGCCATAGACATCAAGAGCACAAAAATCGCCACCCACGTTGACTCATGAGTTCTAAGTTTCAGTTTTATAATAAATTCATCCACAGTGCGTTTCCAAAGATCTTTTTTGCCACATCCGGCTTTGGAATGAGCTCCCCTCCACGGTTTTTCCGAGCGCTATGACATGTCCTTCTTCAAACAAGGCTTGCGAAGAGTATTTAACGGTAGGAAGCGGCTTGGCTCTGACCCTGGCTTTGCTGAAGTCAATGGGCGACGGTAACCATTCGCCATCAGGTGGGGCGTATGCTCGTCTGCCTGCAAGAGCAATAAAAATAATAAAAACTAGTTGAAAACGTCACGAATTACTGTTCCGCGGCAGAAATAGGCAGGGTGGTGGTAACTACCCGTGCGGGCTCACAAGACGTTCTAGCCCTAGAAAACCGGTTTCAATAGATTCCAACAATAACATGACTGCAAAGTGCATGAAACATTTTCAACAAATTATATTTATTAACATTTATTTAGTTATTTCTACAGCACTCATTCACGTTAAATGGCTATAGTCTGAAAAATTATGACGGAAATTCGGTAATTGGATTGAGGGATTTAAATAAATTAATCTGGGGGATTTGAAAGATTCGCAGCGGTCGGCTTAGAATCAAGTCTGTATGTAGGCTGAGCTATATTTTGTCTTTCGTTCAATTCATATCAGACTTGAGACATCATAAGGCATCAGACACTTAAGAAATATTAAAAAAATTTAAAGCTAACTGGTATTGTGCAGTTACCATACCAATGGTCGGCAACATTGTCAATAAAAACCGCCATAATAACACCAAATTGAAATTTATTCAAAGAGCCTTTCTTTAAGTAAATTTTGTTTGTGTTTCATCCTCTCATCTCATTCCATCTCATCCATCACATCCCTATGTTTCTAAAATATTTACTAGTCTCTTATAAGGCACAAAAATAATTCCCTGTCTGAACTAAACATTTCGCGGAAGAGCCGTAGCCGAGGAGTTAAAGACCCGCTCATTACCGACCACTGTACTATACCTATTTTAGGGCAGGTTTAAACTACTCCCTTCAATCACGCAACACCATTAAACCATGACGCTCCAACGAGCCAATAACAAATGCTCTTCTCCTTAAAAGCATCTGAAGTCCTTTTAGAAGTCATCTTAATTAGCATTGTAACATCGGGAAAAAAACTGAAACAAAATGCTTGTCCACTTAACTTTTCTTGGATTCATATTGACCCAGCCTTTGTGATTATTAGTTAAAGTCCTTCCTATCAATGTCACCATACTGTGCTGTATATTTATCGTAGTTCAACATCGTTCTTCAATTACGTGTGAAAGCCAATGTTAAATCGACGTTTCTTTAATATTTGATGCGGAGTTTGCGATCAACGAATAATATCGGTTTCGGTTTTAATAATTGAGTTTGGAATGTTTTTTTTTATTGTCCTTATAGGCAAACCAGCATATGGTCCACCTGACAGTAAGTGGTTACAGTCGCCCATGGACTTCAGCAATGCCAGGGACAGAGCCAAGCCGCTGTCTACCGACAGTACTGCTGTACATAGTACTTTAACGACCACTTTCTTACGTACTTTTTTTACTGGTGATAGGACCTCTTGTGAGTCTGCGCGGGTGGGTACCACCAACCTGCCTATTTCTGCCGTGAAGCATTAATGCGTTTCGGTTTGAAGGGTGGGGCAGCTGTTTTAACTATACTTGAGACCTTAGAACTTTTATCTCAGGGTGGGTGGCGGCATTTACGTTATAGATGTCTATGGGCACCAGTAACCACTGAACACCATGTGGGCTGTGAGCTCGTCCACCCAACTATGCAATAAACATAAAAAAGATCTATTAAAGCAATTTCTTAAAAACCATTTAGCATAAGTTTTGTTAGTTCTCTTAAGAGTCAAATAACTATAACAAGGATTATCATTAAATATTCATTGAGTAAACACAGTCTTTTGAGTGAAACTTAAAATCGCCTCGCGTTTCACACGTCAAAACGAAACAAAAACAAAGAACCAAAACAAACGATCGGTGCGTCGTGTCGCAACTCGCGTCTGAATATAGCAGAGTTCAATCGCCGTACTAATTAGTATTTAAACAGAATAGTGCCAACGTATAACTGAACCCTCGAGCGCGAAAGAGACAAGAGACTGGCAAACTTCCAAGATGAATCTTATGTTTCGGAAGAACTTCGGCGGGGAGAAAACCCTGATGACCAGTAGCACTGGTGGGGGCAAAGCGCGAGGGGCTCTTGGGGCAGGGAGAAACGCTAAGAGACGCGACAGAGAGCGATTCTCATGCATGGAAGAACATCACTACAAGACCCACATATTATTCTCGCCGCCCGTAAGATCTAGCACGCAGTACAACGAAGGATCAGGTAACGTAAACAAATCATGAATTTCCAAATGAATTTGCTTAATGCTGTTGCTGTAGTAACATTTTTATGGTAAAATCTGAAAATAAAACACTCCGTTGAATGCAGACACATGTCGCGTAAGCTAAAAATAAAAATAAAAATAAATAAAAATATGTGTCACATAATATTCGATGTTAAACAAAACTAACAGATATTTCCTTGTAATGTGAAACTTCTAACATTTATATAAACTAATGAAGAGAGATCTCGCTCTGCTCTTATTGTTATTAAAATTTATGATATTGCTCGTCTGGGTTTTCCAAACATTTCTTTTCATGCAAACCTTGTTCTGTTAATTGTCAAAACCAAAATATAAATCAGCCAAATCGATCTGATCGTTATCAAGTGGTAGATGCTTCGTCATACACGTTGTGATTGATTTATAGGTAACTAAAAACAAACAAAGTGAATTTAAAATGCAGTTTTTATCGGCAAATTCAAAAACCAATGACGTAGTTGACTTTTTTTTCTTTAAAGCACAAAATGACGTTCTTGCTTATTTCTATAAAACAGTATTATTTTCTGCTAGAACGACGTTTAAGGAGCATCAGATTTAAAAAAAATCTTATATGTTTTATTTAAACATTTTTGTACGAACATAAAATCAAGTAAACTGTCATCAAAGGCCAGCTGAAATTGATTACATGTGTTTCATTTTGGCGCAGCATCGCACAGGGCTCTTTGGCAAGAAATGCCAATGTACGAGTTAATTTATGGCTGTGTAAGGATGAAATACGATTTATTTTGTTTTGCGAAAAGACTGCGCAAACGCAATCATCACAACCACCACTTAATAAAGTAGTGTGACAAATAAATATTAACGCAACGTGCTTGGTTAAAAAAAATATCAACTAGTGACTCGCCCGATTTTCTCAAAAGGCAAGATTCCATAATGGCGTTTGTAAAGAACAAAATGGCGCGCACTTCATAAGACTATTTAAGACTACGACAAACCTGATTGCGTTACGGCTTGGGCTTGTAAAATGTAAGAATTCCATTAAAAGATGCACTACAAAAAAAACCCGCCTGATTAGTGTATTTCTAATATATTTAAAAACCAAGGTAATAAATTCTAAGGAATGTAATAAATTCTCAGTAGTTTATGCGGCATTAAATACATACTATCATGCTTACCATCCATTTTATTACCAATCTAGACCGAAAAATTCGTATGTAATAAAATAAATTATTACGCTAGAACGAATTTTTTTTTTTTATTGCTTAGATGGGTGGTTGAGCTCACAGCCCACATGGTGTTCAGTGGTTACTGGTGCCCATAGACATCTATAACGTAAATGCCGCCACCCACCCTGAGATAAAAGTTCTAAGGTCTCAAGTATAGTTAAAACAGCTGCCCCACCCTTCAAACCGAAACGCATTACTGCTTCACGGCAGAAATAGGCAGGGCGGTGGTACCTACCCGCGCGGACTCACAAGAGGTCCTACCACCAGTGATCAACCAATCATCAACCATCAGCCAATCGTCAACTTTAGACATAATATTTAAAATAAATAACAACGTCTTGATTCCAGAACGATGTGGTCCAGTTCTCGGTGGAGGCACCGGGCCGGAACCAGAGCCCCCACAGCCCCTGGTCACGCGGGAGCCGACAGTGTCGCTCATGCGGTGGGACCGGCCTACACCAGCTACGACCGAGCGACGACGCACCGAGCCCGTCTCCCTGGCCACTCTGGAGAAAGACTGCTTCGTCATACCAGCGCACGCTCTTGACCGGTTCCTGCCAGAGGGTGTACCGGTTTGTGAACCTATTCAATGTGTTTCTAGAACGAACCTTTCTAGACTTTTGTGCTGATTCAATTTTATTAAACCACTACCAGCTGGAGCGAAACCCAGTTGGGCTCTTAGGATGGTCCTAAACGACGGAGTAACTGATATAGCATTTCTCGTCGTGTCCTAACGGATAAGACGTCCAGTGCAGTCGTGTTGATCGATGCAGTGGTGTTCGAATCTCAGGCGGGTACCAATTTTTCTAATGAAATACGTACTCAACAAATGTTCACGATTGACTTCCACGGTGAAGGAATAACATCGTGTAGTAAAAATCAAACCCGCAAAATTATATTTTTTGTAATTACTGGTGGTAGGACCTCTTGTGAGTCCTCGCGGGTGGGTACCACCCCCTGCCTATTTCTACCGTGAAGCACTAATGCGTTTCGGTTTAAAGGGTGGGGCAGCCGTTGTAACATACTTGAGACCTTGGAACTTGTCTCGGGGTGGGTGGCGCATTTACGTTGTAGATTTCTATGGGCTCCAGTAACCACTTAACACCAGGTGGGCTGTGAGCTCGTCCACCCATCAAAGCAATAAAAAAAAACATTATATTTTAACTTAAGTCGATGGCAATGTCTGAAAGTCGATGGCAATATCCATTTTTTGACATCGTCTATACTACTAGTTAAAACGCAAAACCTTGCAGGCATTTATCGTTTTTATATAATTCTTTTGCAGCTCCCGATGCCGGCTCCTACACCAGAAAAAGGCATGACAACAAAGTCTGGTCAGAGCTCATTAAGTATATTAGAGATCGCCGACCCCAAACTTTGCATATTGGCTCACTTAATGAGCCCTTTGGAGCCAATAGAACCGATATTAGAATCGCCGCTTACCAAACCTTTGATCAAACAGAAAATTGCTGCAGCAGAACTCTTGAGCGAAGTTGCCCAAGCCAACACGGCTGTGGGCGGTATGCTATTGGCCAATATGGAGAAAAACGCAGAATTTCCTTTTATAGCTTACTACGTAATTAACACAACGCACACTGACCCGTTATTGTTTTACAACAATATGAGATCTGCTTCTTTGACCAAGTTCGACCCAAAGACAATTAGATATTCGGCAGCTCACACGTTAGACCTCTACAGTGAAGTCGCAATGATATGTCGGCCGCCATTCACAGATCTAGCCGGTGGACCAAAGAAATCACAGACCTCTACAACTGGATTTATCATTAGTGTTTATAAGGTGAGTTGAATGTTATCACATTTTAAAAAAATGAGCTCACACGAGTAAGTAACCACCGCCCTTGGACCGCGAAGCAGTCTTGTGTTCCGATTTCAAGGATGGTAGGTATAGTTGTTATACAAACAAAATTGAACATTACGTTATGATAATAAGCTCCCATTATCACTTGGCATCGGGTAGTCTGAGACCTCGTATATGCTTCTTTTTTTGGTTTTTTATTGCCGTATAGGCAGATGAGCATACGGCACCTGATGGTGATCGGTTACCGTCGCTCATGGACGTCAGCAATGCCAGGGGCAGAGCCAAGCCGCTGCCTACCGTTTAATACTCTCCACAAGCTTCGTTTGAAGAAGGACATGATTCTCATTAATAACGAAACGGTGGTACTTTGTAAGATCATAGGTTCATGTCAAACATCGAGTAATAATCGCTTTGGAGTAAAGAATTGGATCATTAAAAAAATACTATCTCAGCACTAAGATTGTCCACCCATATATAAACTTTAATAAAATTTAAACACTAAATCCCCAACTAAACCTTTACAGGTATTCGAAGGCGATGACGGGGAACGCTTCGAACGCAACTGGCTTTACTGGACCGGTGCTCGCATGCTCTACCGACACCTCCCCAACACCGTTGGAATGCGAAAGATCGCTCTCCACAAATCAGTGGCCGCACACGGAGACAAAATGTACTTATTGGTTTGCGAGTGTGCCAACTTGTTAGACGACTTGTCGGGTGCTGCGATGCTTATAACTGCTTTAAGGGCGCGACTGTGCGGATACACCGGTCTTTATAGGCCCATACAGACTTTCTAGTAGAAGGGTCAGGCCTCTGTGGCCTGAGATGTGTTCTATTAAGAGACCCGAATAGTGCAATTTGAAGAGATCAATTATAAAATATAAAATTGGACGAAAACATGAAAAAATGCGTTTCGTTCGTAACAAGTCTCTAAATAAACATGGACATAAATTGGACCAAAATAAATAATAAAATATTTGAAACGTATTTGAAGAACGTACCTACGTAAGGGAACTCGTGTTCTCCGCTTAGATTTACTTATAGTGTATACGTCAAAGAACCAGTACCTATTCACAATAATAGTGTAAAGGTTGAACTAAGTCAGAGCTGTTGAGGTTAACTTAGTGCCTATACAAGAGTACCACGACGCTTGAGAGTATGTGGCGTAATGAAATCTACATTTTCATCAGCCATGTGCGAATCAGTTAGATCAGTTAGACGGTGGTGTCATTCGTAACGGTTTCAACAGACAATAAATACCGCATGTAGCTCAGCTGTGCGAGAATCTGTACTCTTTTCAGCTGTGCGAAAGCTAGGTAGGGTTCCTATCACACATCTTTTTTTATTTTATTTAACATAAACTCGCTTTCTAGCCGCCTTTTCCTCGCATCTCTGGCGAAAACGCCATCTTAACTTTAGGGTTTGACAAATAATTTATTTAGGCGCGTTTAAATCATTGTCAAATCCATGAGCATGATTGATTTTTCTCAAACGCCCAACGCAAAGGGTTTTTTCAATTTCCATTCAATACTGCTGTTAATAAAATGATTCAATTAATTCGTTCTCTTTTTCAATGTATACAAAACTTCTAATTCAGTGTACCTACCCGCTGTGTCAGCACTTATGAGTATTGTTATCTGCATCAAAAAATGTGAACGATTAATTTAGAGAACCACCAATTCAATAAGTACTTTTGATAAAATCAAATCTAACCATATAAATTCGGTTATGTCTTCCATGAATTTAATAGAGTTATAGCTTTGTAAAAAGTTTAATTTATTCATTTTTAGCATATCTCTAAACATATCGAAATTTTCATTCTAAATTAACACGTTAAGTAATAAAACACAACCTGTATTTTTTAAAATAGATAAATTTTCAATTTATTAGAAACATTTATAATTTATTACACCTTTTTATATTTTTTACTGACTACGATTACTCGACTATTTACCCTGCCTTGTACACTTACAAAATACTTAACAATTCAATCTACCATCATTACACGATTAACTATACAATAATCATAAATTGACAGAAACAAGTAATATCACTCTTCATGCTCCCTCCAAACAGTCTAAATATCATTCAACGCGTTCAATTTTGCCAAATAATATTTTAAAAAAACTAGTGAATAGAGTAAAACGGTTCATTATGAAATTCGCTTATGACTTTTATGTAAAGCTTTACGCTCATAATTTAAAAAAAATTATTATATATTTGTACATTTCATACACGACTAGTTTAAAATTTCGGCTCAGAAACACAAAACATTAAGACCAATAGATTAAAGTATTTCTTCTCTATAATACGTAAACATTATAATTAATACTAATCTTAAGAGTTATTAAAAAAAATTGGCTTCAAATTAAATCATACGATGGCTTAAACTAGTTAGAATATATACTTTTATAGAAAGTGAGGACGTACACAAAATTTAAGGAATGCGGAAAAAAACCGCCCGTTAAGCCCAAATGTAATCTATTCTGTCAAAATTAAGGTTGAATTCACTGTAATATTAGTTGGGTAATCCAAACGATTCAATTATTTTCTCTTCCTTGGCATTCAAAAACCCAAACCATGCTTGATCTGTATTAATACCTGTAATACCATACTTACATGTATAAAATGCCTCATCGAATGTTAAACCGAAAATGACATAATAAAAGTTCGCACATTTAATATTTTCTAATAAGTATTTTTCAAAGTAAGATTTTTTATAATCACAGCGGTACTTACTATTAATATTACGTAATATAAGCAATTACAATATTTTTGTCAATTTGCGAGTGCATAGATAGATGAATGCATAGGTGGATTTGTGACGTTTTTGGATTGAATAATAATATGTAGAAGTTCATTTGTTTAGCTTTCGAAGCTAAGTTTGTTTGTGGGCTAAGCTCTTAGATTATATAGAATCGTATTTCATCGAATTTCAATTATTTTTGTAATAAAAATTTGAAAAAAACCTTTTTATACCATCTAATTTTGTACTTACCTATCCACTTCCTACACACCTAATTGTTTCATCGTTTTCAGTGCCGTTTCAGGAGAAAACAACACCGTATTAAAATCATTTTGGAGTGTAATGAACAAACCGAATAGATCAGAAATATTCTGAAATATTAATATATGAAATATACTTATATACATTTAAATATATATAACACCCAGATAAAGAGCAAACAAACTTGATACAGACAATAATAGGTATTATCGTGGAAATCGAACCTATGGCGATCTACAAAGCAATCAGGGACGCTAAGTAATTCAAGACTAAGATAGTCTATATTTAAAAACATATAAAATAAAATTAATTTGTGATCTTAGGATGCTTATCGATTCATCTGTAGCGGTAGATAAAATAAATCTGGCATTCTAAATTGCGATAAGAATATTTACAAGATAAGCTCCGATTTATAAAAGTTCCAAACAGCACTGAGACCGTGGATATACCAAGCAATTTCACCGGCTCGTTGCAAAGATCTTCTCTTTTTGGGTTTGAAAAATTTAGTAGATAAGATTGATAATTTTTAGTAATAGGTACATAACACATAAATTATACATAAGTGAGTATAAAGAGAGTGCTCCTAAAGTCTAAATGCATATAAGGTTTTGCAATTTGATATTTCGCGCGTCCGCAATGTAATGCATGCAGAAATGTCTATGCTTTGTCCTAGCCTGTGCGCTTAGTGGGAGTTTTTTAACGTTCTCGATAGCGTAAAAGTTAGCTCATATTTGTATGGAATGGGATCGTTTGCGTACGTTTGCCGCTAGGGGCGCTGTTCCAACTGCATACAAAATTGGGTTAACTTTTACGCTATCGAGAACGTTAAGAAACTCGCACTAAGCACACTGTACATGAAAGTTACTCATAATTGACGCAGAAAAGGCACGTGGACCCCGGGCGGTGATCAACCCTTCAATTTTTTTTTTGGGTCAGGAGGAAATCGCCGGACTTTCGCCCTCCACTGGGGGTGGCGGGCGGGACATGTCGGATTCGAACCGACTAAAAACCTCCTATCGCTCAACAACCCACCTCCGAGCCTCGCATGAGACAGAACTCATGAAAAGGCAAAGGGGGGAAAGTGAAGTGTTTAGTGCGGAGCACAACTCTCCCATCATCCTCCCCCTCGGGACGCCGGACCGTCGGTCGTCGGCGCCACGACCACCAGTCCTCTCGGTCGGCAGGCTATCCGAAGCCCACCTAGATGGTGCCGGTTTGAATGGGTTATCCCACGGAATACTCCCACGAGTCAGCACCAGCGTGGGTAGCCCTTCAATAGTATGTGTATTCTATGGATCAGCCGATTAGATAAACATTCAATACAACCATCAATCCAAATGTATACTTCCAAATGTATACTTCCAAATTATATGTATAAAATTATTACTAATGATATAAACAAATAATTGACTGTTGCATTATTTACTCATTTTTAAAGTGAATTAAACAGTGGTAATAAAATCCAAAAAGTTTTCGTAACGATATATTTAACAATGTACCTAGTACATACTTTTCAACATTGTATTTTTGTTAATACACATTACTACTGTCACGATTTTACTATTGAAGACTTAGTTTTAGAATTTTTTGCTTTAAAAAAAATACTGTTTATAGGCAAACTACGATTTCTCTCCACAAAACAATTTCAATAATCCAATAGTTAGTCTACTACAGTACTTTTCTAACAGAATTATTTATTTTGTATTATAATTATATAATTTAGAATTTCTTTATACATAATGACATATTGAATAATTTAACTTTGAAGTTAAAGGTATAGTTTAATTAATACTTGCAGGTTAAAATGGGTTATGTTCACATTAAATGGAATAAATTTTCTACCTTTAAATTGTAAAAAGTATTACATAATGTACATACATAAAGATAAAGATTTAACATGGGTTAGATACATAGCACAAAAAAGGTTAAACTAAGAATTTATTACTTTCTGGGTCCTGGGTAGAAACAATAAACTATATACTGATTTCAAACTCCTAATTGAGAAACTACTTTAATGCCTTTAAAATCTATAATAATGCTTATTATACCTGGAGGCATAGTACAGATCAGGCAGGTATTGTCTTACCATTAGAACTTATTATAAAACCATGTCACAGTCAAATAAATTACAGTCATAAAATTTATTGGTTCAGCTTACAAGTGAAACAATTCAGTAGAAATGTATGAAAATACCCTGGAATTTTATTTTGCCTTAAATACTGATAACTTTTTATTTTTATGGCCTAGTAGTTAGTTATAGTTTTTCTTTGACCCTTAAATATCTCTAGCCCAGAAAATCCTGGTATTGAGTTTTATGGAATATTACATGACTAATACACATTTAACTAAACTATAAAGAATTGAAAATATTATATAGTAAACTGCATTGAAGGGAATGACTTACAACTAAAAAAAGACCAGTTTTAAGTACCTATTACTCTGCATTATTTTGTATTTAAATCTTCAATAGGTAATGAATCATGAACTAAACACTTAATAAAGTTGTTTAAAATAATATATCTTAATATCCTTTATGACCTCGAAACCTTCTTCTATTGTCTAGCTGAAAATATACAAATATATATTTAAATTTACTTATCCATCGCATTTAACTACCAAAGGGTCTTAATTTTTATTTACAAAAGTAAATAAAGAAAAGATAGTTATAATTAGTTAAATGTAGTTTGGTAGTTTTAAGTCATATTATGCTATTTTGTCTGTATACTCAGGTTATTTTTACATCATTTCAAAGCCAAATATTCTTATATTTAGTACTTACTAAAGATCGTTTACACTCAAAGAAGCTTTGTCTCAATTGTAAGCATTCTTCAGGCACTAAGCCAACTTTTAAACATTCCCTTGGTGTCTTTTTGTCCTGTAATGAAATTTATCCATTATAAATATTTTAAGGAACAACATAGGCAGTGATTTTAAAAATTAATCCTATAAATGTAATAAATACCTTAGGCTTGACATTTTTGATGTGTTGAATGGATTAAAAAAAAATTAACTGAATTATTAAATATATAAATATTTAAATGTATCTAATAAAAATATATGCCGTTTTTATGATACACTAAAACTAACCTTTTTGCAACAATCACTTTTTAATAAACATGACTTTAAATCTGCACGTATACCGGCACATGGCGACTGATCTACTAAGCCTATCTCGTCAGGAGCAAAACTAACCATTATTTAGCAATGGTAAACAAACTCGTAAATTAAAACCGCAATGTAATATTTTGCAATTTCTATGATTACGACCAATGACCAAACAATTATTTTTTTTAAGAGATTTTTTGACCTGGTAACTAAGACCTTTAAGTCATGTCTTATTTTACTTTATATTCTTAATTTTATGAAAAATGATAATATGGAGTGAAATGAAATGAAGATGATTAATTTGAGACATTAATCAACTGAGATGAATTTAATGAAATGAGATGATATGGGATGAAATATAATCGCAGTAAAATGGTGGTCATTTACTGAGATTTTTTCAGTGGACTTTTTGGAGGAACCCGAGAAGTTACGTCCAGCAGCTTTGTTTCATTTTCCCACATTTGTGCACTTTCACAGATATTAAACAGTTAATAAACCACCATTATTACACATTTAAACCTGAAGAAACACTAAATAGACAAAATAAAACAAATCACACAACTTCACTCCTCGCGTTCCCGCCAAAAAGTCCTGACCAATAATTTTTTTTTTTTTAAGAGATTTTATGACCTGGTAACTAAGACCTTTAAGTCATGTCTTATTTTACTTTATATTCTTAATTTTATGAAAAATGATAATATGGAGTGAAATGAAATGAAGATGATTAATTTGAGACATTAATCAACTGGGATGAAATTTAATGAAATGAGATGATATGGGATGAAATATAATCGCAGTAAAATGGTGGTCATTTACTGAGATTTTTTCAGTGGACTTTTTGGAGGAACCCGAGAAGTTACGTCCAGCAGCTTTGTTTCATTTTCCCACATTTGTGCACTTTCACAGATATTAAACAGTTAATAAACCACCATTATTACACATTTAAACCTGAAGAAACACTAAATAGACAAAATAAAACAAATCACACAACTTCACTCCTCGCGTTCCCGCCAAAAAGTCCTGACCAATAATTTTTTTTTTTTTAAGAGATTTTATGACCTGGTAACTAAGACCTTTAAGTCATGTCTTATTTTACTTTATATTCTTAATTTTATGAAAAATGATAATATGGAGTGAAATGAAATGAAGATGATTAATTTGAGACATTAATCAACTGGGATGAAATTTAATGAAATGAGATGATATGGGATGAAATATAATCGCAGTAAAATGGTGGTCATTTACTGAGATTTTTTCAGTGGACTTTTTGGAGGAACCCGAGAAGTTACGTCCAGCAGCTTTGTTTCATTTTCCCACATTTGTGCACTTTCACAGATATTAAACAGTTAATAAACCACCATTATTACACATTTAAACCTGAAGAAACACTAAATAGACAAAATAAAACAAATCACACAACTTCACTCCTCGCGTTCCCGCCAAAAAGTCCTGACCAATAATTTTTTTTTTTTTAAGAGATTTTATGACCTGGTAACTAAGACCTTTAAGTCATGTCTTATTTTACTTTATATTCTTAATTTTATGAAAAATGATAATATGGAGTGAAATGAAATGAAGATGATTAATTTGAGACATTAATCAACTGGGATGAAATTTAATGAAATGAGATGATATGGGATGAAATATAATCGCAGTAAAATGGTGGTCATTTACTGAGATTTTTTCAGTGGACTTTTTGGAGGAACCCGAGAAGTTACGTCCAGCAGCTTTGTTTCATTTTCCCACATTTGTGCACTTTCACAGATATTAAACAGTTAATAAACCACCATTATTACACATTTAAACCTGAAGAAACACTAAATAGACAAAATAAAACAAATCACACAACTTCACTCCTCGCGTTCCCGCCAAAAAGTCCTGACCAATAATTTTTTTTTTTTTAAGAGATTTTATGACCTGGTAACTAAGACCTTTAAGTCATGTCTTATTTTACTTTATATTCTTAATTTTATGAAAAATGATAATATGGAGTGAAATGAAATGAAGATGATTAATTTGAGACATTAATCAACTGGGATGAAATTTAATGAAATGAGATGATATGGGATGAAATATAATCGCAGTAAAATGGTGGTCATTTACTGAGATTTTTTCAGTGGACTTTTTGGAGGAACCCGAGAAGTTACGTCCAGCAGCTTTGTTTCATTTTCCCACATTTGTGCACTTTCACAGATATTAAACAGTTAATAAACCACCATTATTACACATTTAAACCTGAAGAAACACTAAATAGACAAAATAAAACAAATCACACAACTTCACTCCTCGCGTTCCCGCCAAAAAGTCCTGACCAATAATTTTTTTTTTTTTAAGAGATTTTATGACCTGGTAACTAAGACCTTTAAGTCATGTCTTATTTTACTTTATATTCTTAATTTTATGAAAAATGATAATATGGAGTGAAATGAAATGAAGATGATTAATTTGAGACATTAATCAACTGGGATGAAATTTAATGAAATGAGATGATATGGGATGAAATATAATCGCAGTAAAATGGTGGTCATTTACTGAGATTTTTTCAGTGGACTTTTTGGAGGAACCCGAGAAGTTACGTCCAGCAGCTTTGTTTCATTTTCCCACATTTGTGCACTTTCACAGATATTAAACAGTTAATAAACCACCATTATTACACATTTAAACCTGAAGAAACACTAAATAGACAAAATAAAACAAATCACACAACTTCACTCCTCGCGTTCCCGCCAAAAAGTCCTGACCAATAATTTTTTTTTTTTTAAGAGATTTTATGACCTGGTAACTAAGACCTTTAAGTCATGTCTTATTTTACTTTATATTCTTAATTTTATGAAAAATGATAATATGGAGTGAAATGAAATGAAGATGATTAATTTGAGACATTAATCAACTGGGATGAAATTTAATGAAATGAGATGATATGGGATGAAATATAATCGCAGTAAAATGGTGGTCATTTACTGAGATTTTTTCAGTGGACTTTTTGGAGGAACCCGAGAAGTTACGTCCAGCAGCTTTGTTTCATTTTCCCACATTTGTGCACTTTCACAGATATTAAACAGTTAATAAACCACCATTATTACACATTTAAACCTGAAGAAACACTAAATAGACAAAATAAAACAAATCACACAACTTCACTCCTCGCGTTCCCGCCAAAAAGTCCTGACCAATAATTTTTTTTTTTTTAAGAGATTTTATGACCTGGTAACTAAGACCTTTAAGTCATGTCTTATTTTACTTTATATTCTTAATTTTATGAAAAATGATAATATGGAGTGAAATGAAATGAAGATGATTAATTTGAGACATTAATCAACTGGGATGAAATTTAATGAAATGAGATGATATGGGATGAAATATAATCGCAGTAAAATGGTGGTCATTTACTGAGATTTTTTCAGTGGACTTTTTGGAGGAACCCGAGAAGTTACGTCCAGCAGCTTTGTTTCATTTTCCCACATTTGTGCACTTTCACAGATATTAAACAGTTAATAAACCACCATTATTACACATTTAAACCTGAAGAAACACTAAATAGACAAAATAAAACAAATCACACAACTTCACTCCTCGCGTTCCCGCCAAAAAGTCCTGACCAATAATTTTTTTTTTTTTAAGAGATTTTATGACCTGGTAACTAAGACCTTTAAGTCATGTCTTATTTTACTTTATATTCTTAATTTTATGAAAAATGATAATATGGAGTGAAATGAAATGAAGATGATTAATTTGAGACATTAATCAACTGGGATGAAATTTAATGAAATGAGATGATATGGGATGAAATATAATCGCAGTAAAATGGTGGTCATTTACTGAGATTTTTTCAGTGGACTTTTTGGAGGAACCCGAGAAGTTACGTCCAGCAGCTTTGTTTCATTTTCCCACATTTGTGCACTTTCACAGATATTAAACAGTTAATAAACCACCATTATTACACATTTAAACCTGAAGAAACACTAAATAGACAAAATAAAACAAATCACACAACTTCACTCCTCGCGTTCCCGCCAAAAAGTCCTGACCAATAATTTTTTTTTTTTTAAGAGATTTTATGACCTGGTAACTAAGACCTTTAAGTCATGTCTTATTTTACTTTATATTCTTAATTTTATGAAAAATGATAATATGGAGTGAAATGAAATGAAGATGATTAATTTGAGACATTAATCAACTGGGATGAAATTTAATGAAATGAGATGATATGGGATGAAATATAATCGCAGTAAAATGGTGGTCATTTACTGAGATTTTTTCAGTGGACTTTTTGGAGGAACCCGAGAAGTTACGTCCAGCAGCTTTGTTTCATTTTCCCACATTTGTGCACTTTCACAGATATTAAACAGTTAATAAACCACCATTATTACACATTTAAACCTGAAGAAACACTAAATAGACAAAATAAAACAAATCACACAACTTCACTCCTCGCGTTCCCGCCAAAAAGTCCTGACCAATAATTTTTTTTTTTTTAAGAGATTTTATGACCTGGTAACTAAGACCTTTAAGTCATGTCTTATTTTACTTTATATTCTTAATTTTATGAAAAATGATAATATGGAGTGAAATGAAATGAAGATGATTAATTTGAGACATTAATCAACTGGGATGAAATTTAATGAAATGAGATGATATGGGATGAAATATAATCGCAGTAAAATGGTGGTCATTTACTGAGATTTTTTCAGTGGACTTTTTGGAGGAACCCGAGAAGTTACGTCCAGCAGCTTTGTTTCATTTTCCCACATTTGTGCACTTTCACAGATATTAAACAGTTAATAAACCACCATTATTACACATTTAAACCTGAAGAAACACTAAATAGACAAAATAAAACAAATCACACAACTTCACTCCTCGCGTTCCCGCCAAAAAGTCCTGACCAATAATTTTTTTTTTTTTAAGAGATTTTATGACCTGGTAACTAAGACCTTTAAGTCATGTCTTATTTTACTTTATATTCTTAATTTTATGAAAAATGATAATATGGAGTGAAATGAAATGAAGATGATTAATTTGAGACATTAATCAACTGGGATGAAATTTAATGAAATGAGATGATATGGGATGAAATATAATCGCAGTAAAATGGTGGTCATTTACTGAGATTTTTTCAGTGGACTTTTTGGAGGAACCCGAGAAGTTACGTCCAGCAGCTTTGTTTCATTTTCCCACATTTGTGCACTTTCACAGATATTAAACAGTTAATAAACCACCATTATTACACATTTAAACCTGAAGAAACACTAAATAGACAAAATAAAACAAATCACACAACTTCACTCCTCGCGTTCCCGCCAAAAAGTCCTGACCAATAATTTTTTTTTTTTTAAGAGATTTTATGACCTGGTAACTAAGACCTTTAAGTCATGTCTTATTTTACTTTATATTCTTAATTTTATGAAAAATGATAATATGGAGTGAAATGAAATGAAGATGATTAATTTGAGACATTAATCAACTGGGATGAAATTTAATGAAATGAGATGATATGGGATGAAATATAATCGCAGTAAAATGGTGGTCATTTACTGAGATTTTTTCAGTGGACTTTTTGGAGGAACCCGAGAAGTTACGTCCAGCAGCTTTGTTTCATTTTCCCACATTTGTGCACTTTCACAGATATTAAACAGTTAATAAACCACCATTATTACACATTTAAACCTGAAGAAACACTAAATAGACAAAATAAAACAAATCACACAACTTCACTCCTCGCGTTCCCGCCAAAAAGTCCTGACCAATAATTTTTTTTTTTTTAAGAGATTTTATGACCTGGTAACTAAGACCTTTAAGTCATGTCTTATTTTACTTTATATTCTTAATTTTATGAAAAATGATAATATGGAGTGAAATGAAATGAAGATGATTAATTTGAGACATTAATCAACTGGGATGAAATTTAATGAAATGAGATGATATGGGATGAAATATAATCGCAGTAAAATGGTGGTCATTTACTGAGATTTTTTCAGTGGACTTTTTGGAGGAACCCGAGAAGTTACGTCCAGCAGCTTTGTTTCATTTTCCCACATTTGTGCACTTTCACAGATATTAAACAGTTAATAAACCACCATTATTACACATTTAAACCTGAAGAAACACTAAATAGACAAAATAAAACAAATCACACAACTTCACTCCTCGCGTTCCCGCCAAAAAGTCCTGACCAATAATTTTTTTTTTTTTAAGAGATTTTATGACCTGGTAACTAAGACCTTTAAGTCATGTCTTATTTTACTTTATATTCTTAATTTTATGAAAAATGATAATATGGAGTGAAATGAAATGAAGATGATTAATTTGAGACATTAATCAACTGGGATGAAATTTAATGAAATGAGATGATATGGGATGAAATATAATCGCAGTAAAATGGTGGTCATTTACTGAGATTTTTTCAGTGGACTTTTTGGAGGACCCCGAGAAGTTACGTCCAGCAGCTTTGTTTCATTTTCCCACATTTGTGCACTTTCACAGATATTAAACAGTTAATAAACCACCGTTATTACACATTTAAACCTGAAGAAACACTAAATAGACAAAATAAAACAAATCACACAACTTCACTCCTCGCGTTCCCGCCAAAAAGTCTGACCAATAAATTTTTTAAGAGATTTTATGACCTGGTAACTAAGACTTTTAAGTCATGTCTTATTTTACTTTAAATTCTTAATTTTATGAAAAATGATAATATGGAGTGAAATGAAATGAAGATGATTAATTTGAGACATTAATCAACTGGGATGAAATTTAATGAAACGAAATGATATGGGATGAAATATAATCGCAGTAAAATGATGGTCATTTACTGAGATTTTTTCAGTGGACTTTTTGGAGGAACACGAGAAGTTACGTCCAGCAGATTTGTTTCATTTTCCCACATTTGTGCACTTTCACAGATATTAAACAGTTAATAAACCACCATTATTACACATTTAAACCTGAAGAAACACTAAATAGACAAAATAAAACAAATCACACAACTTCACTCCTCGCGTTCCCGCCAAAAAGTCTGACCAATAAATTTTTTAAGAGATTTTATGACCTGGTAACTAAGACTTTTAAGTCATGTCTTATTTTACTTTAAATTCTTCATTTTATGAAAAATGATAATATGGAGTGAAATGAAATGAAGATGATTAATTTGAGACATTAATCAACTGGGATGAAATTTAATGAAACGAAATGATATGGGATGAAATATAATCGCAGTAAAATGATGGTCATTTACTGAGATTTTTTCAGTGGACTTTTTGGAGGAACACGAGAAGTTACGTCCAGCAGCTTTGTTTCATTTTCCCACATTTGTGCACTTTCACAGATATTAAACAGTTAATAAACCACCATTATTACACATTTAAACCTGAAGAAACACTAAATAGACAAAATAAAACAAATCACACAACTTCACTCCTCGCGTTCCCGCCAAAAAGTCCCTGACCAATAAATAAATCCAATAAGCCATAGATTATACACTTAACAATAAGCTTCACGGACTTTTTTTCGAATTTTTTGAGCGGCCTGGAATCTATTCTTTTAAAACAAATCTTCATGTTGTGTTTGATAGAAGTGAGCCTTAAAGCGCCTGTGCGTATACTATGGCAATGTTATTCGCTGCAACGTAGACATACTTTTTCATTATTTTTTATGACTATCTCTACTGTGTTTCCCTCGGCTTTCGCTCGTCGTAGACATAATTAAAACTATTTTTACATCTTAGTCCATGACCAAAACAATTATTAAGTATTCGAAACTGCTTAAATAAAATGCTGACAATAAAAACGCGAGATTAAACCATAAAGTAGTTTTCATTGTAACTATCTATCTTTTATTAACGACAACGCACTGGTAAAAGTAACGCTACTAAATATTTGCAGTCTGATTATATTATTCATTACGTTTCGATAATGTATGTTCCGCTGAACCATAAATAATATTTACATTTCACTGTCGGAAAATGAAACAATAACACTAGATATTATGGCTTCTTTTGTTCTCGCATGAAGTCCATTGAATTCATTAACTTCATTTCAGTAACCTTCCACCGTTTTGCTAAGAGGCTACTTGATTTCGTCAAAGTCGTCGTGGCCTAAAGGATAAGACGTCCGGTGCACCAGTGTTCGAATGCCGCAACCGGGTACCAATTTTTCTAATGAAATACGTACTTAACAATTGTTCACGATCGACATACACGATGAAGGAATAACATCGTGTATATAAAAAATATCAAACCCACAAAATTATAATTTGCGTAATTACTGGTGGTAGGATCTCTTGTGAGTCCGCACAGGTAGGTATCACCACCCCGCCTATTTCTGCCGTGAAACAGTGGCCGTTTTCCAATTACAGCACAAGAGCGCATTATGCGGCATAATGCGCTCTTGTGCTGTAATTGGAAAACGGCCAGTAATGCGTTTCAGCAGGGGTGGGGCAGCCGTTGTAACTATACTGAGACCGTAGAACTTACATCTCAAGGTGGGTGGCACATTTACGTTGTAAATGTCTATGGGTTCCACTTAACCACTTAACACCAGGTGGACAGTGAGCCCATCCAGCCATCTAAGCAAAAAAAAATCATCTCGTCTCACACCTATGGTCTAGCTCTAGGATTAGGTCTTTTCTCAGACACATAACTTAAAAAACAGACATTAACGTTTTAACGAATTGGGCAGTTCTCCCTTTGCCTATCTAATAAACCAATCAACCAAAAAATGTTCTTATCAAATATTATTTACAATTTATTTGAAACAACATTTAGTATCAGCAAGTTCGAACTGCCTGAAATGTATCATTAATAAAAATGAAGGTTTTTAATTTAACTTTTGTCCGGTCATTATCTCACGTGTGTAGCTTAAAACCTTATAAAGATACAAAATGGCTTATGCCGAATGGAAACCCTACAGGTATTTACGTTTATAATTGTATTGCGAACCAACGGGTGCCAGTTATTTTAAATGATCCTCACATCGCTACCTGGTATTCCTGTGGCCCCACGGTATACGAATCTGCTCACATAGGTCACGCCAGCTGCTATGTGAAACTCGATATCATACAGAGAATTCTCAAATCGTTCTTCAATATAAAAATCGTCTCCGCCATGGGTATTACGGATATAGATGACAAAATCATTAAGAAAGGCCTCGAAAGTAAAACACACTTCACAAATATTGCTAAACAATATGAGCATGAATTCTGGCTTGATATGGCATCATTGAATGTAGCAAAGCCACTCATCATAACGAGGGTATCGGAACACATTAATAGTATTGAGAAATTCATACAGAGGCTTATTGATAACAACATGGCTTATGTAAGTAAAAACGGTTCAGTATATTTTGATACCGATAAATTCTCAAACTATGGAAAATTACAAAAAATGCAAGACAGTGGTGAACCATCAGATGATGAAAAAAGAAATAAAATGGACTTTGCTCTTTGGAAAAGTCACAAGCCCGAGGAACCCTATTGGGATACCCCCTGGGGTAAAGGCAGACCTGGCTGGCATATAGAATGTTCTGCAATGGTCAGCAAAGTATTTGGATCACAATTAGACATCCATGCTGGAGGAGTAGATCTACAATTTCCTCATCATGAAAATGAAGAGGCACAATCATGTGCATACCACAATATACGACAGTGGGCTAACTATTGGATTCATGTTGGTCATTTAAATGTTATTGGTGATACAAAAATGTCCAAATCACTACAAAACACTATTTCAATACCTGACTTATTGAAATCATATAATGCAGATACATTCAGAATGGCCTGTTTGTTAACAAACTACAGGTATTCAATGGAATTCAGTAATCAGCTTATGGAAACCGCTGAAAGTGTTTTAAATAAATTTAAGTTTTTCATAACAGATGCTACTATTTATATAAATAACAATGCAACATCGGTTAGTGCCGTTTACTCAGATCACATATTAAAAAACCTACAGAAAACAGAGGAGGCCAATTTTGAAGCTTTGAAAGTAGATTTTGATACAGCAACTTGCATAAATAATTTGTTAACCTTACTTTCGGACACAAACAAAATTATAAAATCAGATCCGTGTGAATATTGTCCTGTCCCAGTGACATTGATAGTTGAATACATAGTTGATATTCTTACAAAATTTGGATTGAAACTTCAAGAGAGTGAGGACACTGTTTTATCAAACGCAATGATAAATACTATAGTTGAATTTAGACATTCTGTACGATTGAATGCAATTTCTAGCAAAAACTATGAGCTATTGAGCGCATGTGATATTGTCCGTGATAAAATGAAATCAATGAAAGTCCAAATCAATGATAGTCATAAGACTCCATCTTGGGTTATAACCAAATAATGCAACTGATGTATGTATATCAGCTTTACCAAAATAAGGTGTGCATAGTAAGTAGATCATGTAACATAATGTAAGCACACATTTTCATAGTTTTGTTTCATGTGTAATAATAATAAAATGTCATTTTCAATTCATTGTTATCCCAGTGAATCTGATAAGTGGAAGATCTGGACTTACTGAGCAGTGACTGAACTGGATGGTTGTTTTTAGCGTTCATGCTGGTTTGTTTTTCGAAAAACATTCAAACAGAATGAACATTTCTGAAAATCAAAAGTTATAACTCTAATTAGATTCTGTATCTGCAGATTCAAATAAAACCCAGATTAATAAAATATTTTCTTTTTAATTATTAAAAGAAAATATTTTATGTATAATATTATGAATCATTGTGTTACACTACTGAATAAAAGCATTCAGTATGTCTTATTATATTATCATATAAATGACTGGAAATTATTGACTAAAGTGTGAGCTATGAGACTAGTTGCTCAATGGTGAATTTTGTAGGGATTGTTACATTGTATCAATAAATAATAAAACAACATAATACACTCATTCATTTATTTTAAAACTTACATCAAGTCCATTGACTAGACTATGAAATAATGAGATTTTCAAGGTTCAAGTACATAGTCTCCTTACAAATAATACATAACATAATATGGCAAGTTATCCATGTAGATTGCTTGTGTATTCTGATTGTTTTTTTATTTCAAATTGCCACTTTCAGAAATCATTATGCAACTCGATGTTTATATATCCTTTACCAATATTGTTAAAATTAATCATAAGTTGATACTCAAAAATCTTTGAAATGGTCAAAATGTTATTCATGTGTAGATTATGGTTCTCAGTAAAATAAAATATTAATTTTATCATGGCATTTAAAATACTTCTCTTCATCACTGTTATCATTACACTATGATACGCTAAGCAAATTTATTTCAATGTGGTTTTATCAAAAACATGGTGCACCATCTCTGATCATCACAGCTTGACCATCTCTGAAATGCCTTTTTATATTATACACAGTTTTCCCATTAAGTTATAGTTTCTTTGTCTTTGGTCAAATTATTTTTGTCCTAAATGGATTTATTTATTTGTTTTGGTTCTACACAAACTTATGTATTTATGTCAGTCAGTCTTTAAATCTTCATGTGTTTTATTAGAATTAAAGATGCATCTTTTATTAAACATTAGATTTTACTATTTCCTGTGATGTATTTTCTCTAATATATACTGATATAACTTGGTGCTTAGAAAATAGAGTTAACTAGAAGCTCAATATTACATACAGTCTTAAATAAAAAAATATGATGGTTCAACAGTTTCTGCCAATACAATCAGGGCTAAACGTTCCTTTATGGTCAGTCGATTTGGAAGTTCACAATTTTTTTGTAGATAGTACCCATAAATAGAAAGCTTTTTGAAAAATTTCAAGTTGCGTAAACTCACGATTTACGAGATATATTTTTTTCAGTTTCCCCGACCCAAAAATCGACGGACCATGTAGCACAACCACAATCATTTTAGATTCACTAATGTGAACGTGTCAAATAATTCATTTGTTTCCAATTTGAATTTTGATTACAATAAACATGTATCCAAAAACAAAATGTTTGGAAATGCACACCAGAAAAACAAATGAAATTAAACTACATCAATGAGACGACTCAATTGGATCATATTTTTTCGACGGCCGGTTACTTCCGGCTTTTTACATAAAATAAATAAAGTTATTTTAAAATAAAACATAAGAATGTGACTATATACTGCACAATTTGTTTGAAATTGTTTTTATGCAAATTATTTTTTCTCTGTTCTGAGCAATTTTATAATTATTTGACATTTGCAAATTTTGTCACCTGTCAAAATAATTTCAGTGTAACGTGGTTATTGGTAAAAGACATTTAAACATCCATCAAGTTCTCAAATTTTGTGCGCAATCAAAAAATATAGTATTTATGATTACTAATTAGAAATCGATATTGTATTATTTTTGTCCTGTATTATATTTTCAGCTCTATACACTTTCCAAGCGACTAAATAATCTCGAACCATCTTGAATAGTGAATAGTAATTGATGAAAAGTAATATCACTATCGATAAAAAGTTATGCCACGGTATCGAACTGAATAACAAACATAGTTGTAAGACGATTAATGACAAGTGCAGACTCAACAGCAGACATAGTAGCTTCGAAGGGTTTATGAAGACGCTCTGTACGGAAAAAAATATAAACTTCATTTAACAAAATAATATAAAATTAACTAAACTCTAACTAGATGCAAATAGGCTCTAGTTCTAGTGCAGAAAGTATAATGTGCGCATAGGAAATTGAAAATATTATCATACATTAGATACGTCATTTATTCAGTATTTCTAACCGAGAAAAGGTTTATCTTCTCCTGTTGTAATAAAATTTTGCATTTTAGTTACAAATTATAAATAAATTGTTTTAATTTAGATATTGTCAAAATGTATCAATAGACCAAACAGTATAAAACTGGAGCACATGAAGCAGTGACTTGGCTATGCCCCTGGCATTGCTGACATCCATGAGCGACGGTAACCACTTATCATCAGGTGGATTCTACGCTTGATTAATTACAAAGATAAAAAAAAAACACATTCGTATATTGATAGAATGATACTTAATCACGACTCAACAGCCCACTGAATTTCTCGCCGGATCATCTCAGTGGGTCGCATTTCCGATCCGGTGGTAGATCATGCGAAGCACTGCTCTTGCTAGGGCCAGTGTTAGCAACACTTTTGGTTTGAGCTCCGTGAGCTCACCTACACGCTAGAATAACGCTGATATAGCCTCTCAAGGCTATAGGCCTATCTATTGGTGGTAGGACCTCTTGTGAGTCCGCACGGATAGGTACCACCGCCCTGCCTATTTCTGGCGTGAAGCAGTAATGCGTTTTAGATTGAAAGGTGGGGCAGCCGTTGTAACTATACTTGAGACCTTAGAGCTTATATCTCAAGGTAGGTGGCGCATTTACATTGTAGATGCTTATAGGCTCCAGTAACCACTTAAAAAAAAAAAACATAGGTAGAAAAAAAGTCTCAAGTAATAATTGTAACTATACTGAGACTGTAGAACTTATATCTCGAGGTGGGTGGCGCATTTACGTTGTAGATGCCTATGGGCTCCAGTAACCACTTAACATCAGGTGAGCTGTGAGCTCGTCCATCCATCTAAGCAATAAAAAAAAACGGGCTATACGTACGTGAAACCGTATGTGCTCCGGGCAGCCGGGTCGCGCGGCCACCGTGGGGGAGGCGGCCGCGTACCCCGCGCCGCCGCAGCGCACCCGCGCCCCCGCGCTCCACAGCTTGTCCTCCGACCACTCCGGGATCTCGCCGCTCGCGTCCGTAGCTGCTGTCGAAACACGAACTTAATTTACGACATTTAATTTTGATGTAATGATTTTTAATACGCTTTTATTAGCTTCAGATGTATGTATGTTAGTATGTAATGGAATCTTTGAACATGATTTTGAACCCCTTCAAAACGTCGGATTAACTCGAAATTTGGTACCTATACTTATTAAGGACCGATAACAATTCAATACTAAAAAAAAAGGGAAAAAAATATTGAAGATGAGACATATGGTTGAAGTTTACATTGTGTAATATGGCGGCTATACCCCTCTCCCCCAACCCCCTGCAAGTCTTACGTAGAGGGTCCCAGCGGCCGAGGTGCAGGGCAGCTCGATGCGGCACGTCGCAGAAGGTGGAGCCGAGCAGCTGGCTCACGTAGCGACCGAACAGTCCTCCCAACACAAACGCGATCTGCTGCGACGCCCCATACACCTCGTAGTACAGGTAGGGCTGGGAACAAGGTTCATCTCGGTAATGTATGTGCGTTGTGCACGGCGACGGGTGAAATAGGTCTTTGAAGAAAATATATGTCGGAGACTGTCATTACTTTGGTAGCTAAGCGAAACGCAGCACGATTCCCGAGAGATGGTAGCACGATTGCGGTATCGTCGGAACTCTGACTCTGCTACCTACGACAGAGCCTAGCCGATGGAGGCGCGTAGACGCCATCACACTTATCAACCAGCCTTCTTGAAGAGCGGTGCCTCCATTCTAAGAACTGTCATACATTTCGTCTGCTAAACTCGATCACCCTATTCGCCCCTATGATGTCTTACGATGGTGTCAATAATTGTGGCTTCTCCGACATATATGATTTCATTTGTATTAGCTCGCGTTCCTAGATGCGCGATGTATGCCGATATTGCAAAAATATATAATTGGAATAATTAATATCTGTAGGGCACGTTGCCATCATGAAAGGACTTTTTTCGGAACGCCACAAGCGAATGTTTAGTTAATTTAGTGTTTAGGTTTAACATATGTTTAGTGTTTGTGAGATTGTACAAATGTGGGAAAATCAAGCAAAGCCACTGGGCGTAGATTCTCGGGTTCTTCAAAAAAGTCTCAGAAAATAATCACCATTTTACTGAGCCTTTTTTTAAATTAATTAATAGTTAAATATATCTATGTGTAAGATGCACATGAGTGATGACTGTATTTTTTTTAATGCTTAGATGGGTGGACGAGCTCACAGCCCTCCTGGTGTTAAGTGGTTACTGGAGCCCATGGACATCTACAACTTAAATGCGCCACCCACCTTGAGATATAACTTCTAAGGTCTCAGTATAGTTACAACGGCTGCCTCACCCTTCAAACCGAAACGCATTACTGCTTCACGGCAGAAATAGGCGGGGTGATGGTACCCACCCGCGCGGACTCACAACAGTTCCCACCACCAGTAATTACGCAAATTATAATTTTGCGGGTTTGATTTTTATTATACGATGTTATTCCTTCACCGTGGAAGTCAATTGTGAACATTTGTTAAGTACGTATTTCATTAGAAAAATTGGTACCCTGCTGCGGGATTCGAACACCGGTGCATCGCTAGATACGAATGCACCGGACGTCTTATCCTTTAGGCCACGACAACTCCGAACTCACAAAAGGTCCTACCACCAGTCCTGTATCAGCCCTGCTCAAGTTCCACTCACCTGCGCAAAACAGCAAGGTATGAAGCTGGAGTAATAAGCCCCGGACACCGAATTGAAGAGTATTTTCTTGACTCTCATATTGAAGTCGTGTCTGAGCACCTCCACTTCGGCCCTGACCTGCCCCGGGTCGTGCGTGCAGCAGTGCAGCGGCGGGGCCTCAGAGTTGTTCAGCTCCAAGAACGGTGATGATTGGAAGCCGAACAGGAGCACGTATACTACTGCTCTGTGGGAAAATGGGAATTGTTATTTTATTAACACGCCCTTATCTCGCGAGGCTTTAGACAGCGTTACCTCTACGCCGCTAAAATGAAAAATAAATAATAGTTATAAAAAAACTAAGAAAATACGCTTTTATAGAAAGTCGTCGTGGCCTAACGGATAAAGACGTCCGGTGCGAATTCGTGTTGAGCGATGCACCGGTGTTCGAATCTCAGGCCGGTACCAATTTTCTAATGAAATACGTACTCAACAAATGTTCACGATTTACTTCCACGGTGAGGGAATAACATCGTGTAATAAAAATTAAGCCCGCCAAAATTATAATTTGCGTAATTACTGGTCGTAGGACCTCTTGTGAGTCTGCGCGAGTGGGTACCACCACCCTGCCTATTTCTGCCGTGAAGCGGTAATCCGTTTCGGTTTGAAGGGTGGGGCAGCCGTTGTAACTACTTGAGTAGAACTCGTGTCTCAAAGTGGGTGGCAGCATTTACATTGTAGATGTCTATGGGCTCCGGTAACCACTCAACACCAGGTGGGCTGTGAGCTCGTCCACCCATATAAGCAATAAAAAAAAATTAAAACAGGGCCCGGCTCACACCCCCGTAAGGAACGTAAGGAGTTGACGGATACTTGAAAAAAATCACAGTGAAAATCACTGTTGATACCGAAATCACTACCATGGTCATATAAGAAAGTTATAAAAAACAACATCCATTCTCTTCGGTTCATCATAAACAACTCAATCACAATTCGACCCAAAAATATTCTATAAACAATTATTGTCAAAAAAATAGGAAATTCGAAAGAGATATTAACATTTGACAATTATTAATTCAAATGTCTCTGTGACACTCACGGATAACACAAGTAGAATATCTTGAGAAGTGGATATTTAAGCATGATGAAGTACGTGCACCAGGCAAGGGCTCCTAATATCACTCCAAGGATGAACATTCTGAAAAAAGGACACATAATCTTTGTGATCATTGTGACATAACAAAAAAAATCATCCAGCACTGTAAGTACAAGTGTTTATAGTGAAACTTTGACCAAGTAGGACAGCCGTATTACAATTATATGGAGACTCTCTTGTGTCAAGGTGAACGAAGGTTTCTTATAATAATAACTATGCACATTTACTAAGCACTTAACATCAGATGGACAATGAGATCTACTCGTCTGTAGTATTTATTGAAATTTACAAATATCTATTGTATTCCAATTTTGAATTAATTTTAGAAAAAATAGTTTGTAGTGGGTGACAGTACTAGCCAGAAGAACAAAGTCAAAGAAAACTCTTTACATTTATGTCAACCTAGTACTTTAAGACATTTAGATTCAGATCAGATTCAGTACTTTAAAAGAAATTCAGCTAATTGAAAAAACTCATCAACAAGCATTGCTGTGCTCCGTTAACATTATAGATAAAAAAAAAAATTCGTTTTGTTCTAGAAGAGTAACTCTGAGCTGTTTGAGCTGACACTAGAAGCACGACACTCAGAGAAAACATCTAGCATCGTCGTTTGAAGTCGTCGTGGCCTAACGGATAAGACGTCCGGCGCATTCGTGTTGAGCGATGCACCGGTGTTCGAATCTCAGGCGGGTACCAATTTTTGTAATGAAATACGTACTCATCAAATGTTCATGATTGACTTCCACAGTGAAGGAATAACATCGTGTAATAAAAATGTAACCTGCAAAATTATAATTTGCGTAATTACTGGTGGTAGGACCTCTTGTGAGTCCGCGCAGGTGGGTACCACCACCCCGCCTATTTCTGCCGTGAAGTAGTAATGCGTTTTCGTTTGAAGGATGGGGCAGCTGTTGTAACTGTACTTGAGACCTTAGAACTTATATCTCAAGGTGGGTGGCGCATTTACGTTGTGGATGTCTATGGGCTCCAGTAACCACTTAACACCAGGTGGGCTGTGAGCTCGTCCACCCATCTAAGCTATAAAATAAAACAAAATGAAAGTATAGTATTCAAAATAGAGCATAGCACACCATAGCCTGATGTTGAATAGATACTATTAGTAACTGCAGATTTACCTTGCAGCCACCACAGCCTGTGGCATTAATTTCGGTGGCAGCATCATCCTCAAAATGACCAAGCTAATGCTCAACAATAATCTTCTGAATAGTAAAGTAATTATAAAAGCTACCAAATGTGGGTCGATCAGGTAGAAATTCTGTAAACAATTATAAACAATTAAGTTTTTTTATAGTTTTGTTTAGAATTTAAGTACAAAGATTGTCACACAACCTAGGGTTTTTGACCTATGTCAAAGATCTGCAATCACTTGTTAGAGAGTAAGCCAAAATTGATATTTCAAATCAATACAATGCTCGTATAACTCAACAAGTCATCAGTGAACAAGCTGATTTATTATTCCACTTTACGGTACTTAGCAATTGTTAATTCAGTTAATTCTTCTAATTTTATTAATTGTCCTAATAAGTAAGCTTTATTGCTTATTGAATTAAGAATTTTTATGAACATTATTGCATTCAAGTCATGAGTAGTATTTAATGATATAGTCAGTGTGAAATAGTCACATGGGCAGAACTTAGACAGGGAGATATGCAAAGAGTATTCAGTGGTAGGTAGCAGCTTGGCTCTGCCACTGGTGTTGTTGACATTAATTTTAAGATTCTAGTCACGATATGATTGTCAGTTTGGGGCATGAATTTGAATAATTCAATTCACAGACTGCATAATTTATATAAAATTATGTTTACCTACAGGACAAAGTGACTGTTGTTTGTTACAAATTCAATCATAATTTTTTTTAAACATTCTTTAACTCTCTAATTCTACATAATTCATTCATTAAATCTGAGGTGAATTATATTTATATACATACATTGAAGTACATCTTAATCTCTTCAGGGACTTTGGCAGATATGGTATCCTTTTTTAACTGTTCATATATATAATTCTACGCTAAATGACGACCCTTGTGGGCATATCTTTTTTTTAAATGAATAGCCACTATTTTTGTTCGTTTTTTTAACTTATTGAATTATTTTCATTCTAAAATGAACAAATTAAAAAAAAATTCAATTTACATTTTTTGTACTATGAAAAATTCTTCCCTGAAGATTTTAATATATAATAATAGCATTATTTTGAAAATAATGTTACTACGGTTCCTAATTTGTGTATTTTAACAATGTCTTCCAATTATCAGCATTTCTTCAAAGCTGGTAATGCTATTAGTAAATACTTAGCGAAAATCTCAATGGTTAACTGGATTCCACTAATTTAAAATGAAACAAATAGAGGTGTACACTCACCATAGCCTGGTTTGTGTATGAATTTGGTAGCCACCAAGTGGTCCTATACAGGTTCAAAAACTGTAGTCCTGTTGCTGCCAGTGTGAACATAAACATCAGTACTTCAAATAGTAACGGTCCATCTTGGGGTATATGTGGGAATGGAATGTGTTTCGGTGGTATGGGTCCTTCAGCTAGCTTGATATCTGCTAGTGTTACTGTTGGCGCTGTATTTGGAGTCACCCTAGTTTGACGGCCAACACGTTTCCCCCCACTTACATCATCCTCAACTGGGTATGTACACTGTAAATTATAAACACACTATTAACATCTTTAAGAAAATTTCCCTAGCCATTCAATTTAATGTAAAATTGTGTTTACAAATTTATGGAAAACTCACAACAATTTTGTTATATTTAATTTGTTAATATCCAAGGTTGAAACCTCACTTGTTTTTTTAATCAGTTTAATCAATTACAAATCGATAAACTATCTATTTATAGAATCATAAGCCAGTATCCTACATGAAAAAGAGAATCCACATTTACCTTCTTATTATTCGTCCCTGTGGCCTTTTTCGCTCCAGGGTGAACCATTTTACAAGCGATAGGAGGCAAAGGTCTCTTAATGAGCGGGTCTTTAATAATTTTCCGCCGTCTTGAGACGGCTGTTGATGAAGTATTGCTAACTTGAGAATTTGCCCAGCGTCTAGCTAAAAGTATAGTCAGACAGCCGACAATTGCTGGTAAGAAGAACACGACAAAAGGGCCACTTTCATTTTCCGTACAACTCATCACTCACATGTTAAAACTTTTGAATAGTTTCACAATAAATAATTTTCTGAATGTTCTACACAATAAACACCAACACGACGATATGTGTAAAGCGAATCTCTCAATCACAAACTCAAAAAATGACAGCAACAACGTCATTTGTTTGTTTTGGCCACTGTTTAGGCGAACACAGCATAGCCTATAGAGCCGGCTTGTAACTGTAAATGACTGTAGCTATAGATATTTTTTTTGTAATTAGTTCGTAATCTTAATTATTTTATTGTAAGCTTTTCCCTCTTAACCAAAAACGTTTATTTTTACTAGACAGTATACCTTCATGCAACTAACTAAAAAAAATCAAGCGCATCGGTTTCCTATATTGTACAAAGTTAAGATTTAGATTTAAAATGAAACGGAATAATAAAAATCTCAGTAATATCATACAATTTTAAACCATGCCTACTAATTGAATTCCATTGCATTAAAGATGCTGATTAATAATAAATGATACTGATACCTTTATACATGAATATTGACTATTTTTTTGTTATTATATTCTTTTGTACATCTGATAAATAAATATACTATGGCAGATAAGAAAAGTGAATAATTAAATTCCTCGACATGTCCTTTTCAGTAGTTATAAACTCCAAATTGATAAATTAAAACAATTCTCACAAGATCACACTTCAAGCTCTCCTAAAAAATAAAATATTGACAGAGTTTCGTCTTTGTATTTAACTCGAACAAAGCGCACTATAATTTTTAGATTATGTTGGTTTCATAAATCCATAAACTTAGCTGGCAAGACATACCTGTTGAATTTGATGATACATTTCACTGTAAGAAAATGAACTAATACACGTACATTGTGATATATGTATTTATTCAAAAATAACCATTTGATGAGAGGCATTTTACTTTTTAGAATAAACTTAATGAAAATTGAGACATAAAATATAAAAAAAAATACAGGCCACAAAATCTGAAAAAATTAAGAAATTTGAGGAGTTTTTGGCGAAACTGCGAGGAGCGAAGTTGTGTGAATTGTTTTCTTTAATTTGGGGTTTATTTGGGTTTAAATGAGTACTACTCGTAATGGTAATTCATTATCTGTTTATTATCTCTTGCACAAATGTGGGAAAATGAAACAAGCCGCTGGAGTCTGGACATATCTACACGGGATCTTCCAAGAAGTTCATTGAAAAAGTCTCAGTAAATAATCACCTTTTTATTGAGATTATATTTTATGCAATATCATCTTGTTTCCATTAATTTCACCCCAACTAATTAAAGTCTCAGATTAATTAATTTTATTTTATTTCGCTCCATATCACTTTTCATAAAACAAAATGTACAAAAGATTAGGTTGTATGGATTGATACTTTTGCCTGTCCTTTTGGTAAAATGGAACTACTTAAGAAAATTGACAGCTGTCACCAGCATGACCAGATTTAGTAGATATCTACTTTTTGGTAGATTTTGAGGTACTGGCAACAGAATTTAGTATGTAAAAATTATTTGGTATATTTTAGTAGAATTCACGCTTATTTATTCTCGTACTTTTTGACATTTTGTATAAATTCGGGGTATTCCCCCTTTCATCGAATGTATTTAATTTACTATTTAATTTTCATTCTTTTCGTTACCATTCGTGCCGTGAGCATAGTGTGCTAGACTATTGGGAATTCCTTCATTGAGAATTTTTATAATCGAGCTTAAAACGAAACATAAATATACACAAAGGTATCATGATGTCCCATTCATCACGATATCCTTGTAGTTGTAATACAAAACATGCAAATTGTTGACAAAAAATTTATGAAATTAAAATTAGATGATTCCGTGTCTAATTTATTGTCAACTTCTAGTTCGACGTCTGAATCTTTTATGGTGGATAAAGCCGAATCTGTGATGCGAATAGCAAGCCGATACTATCTTTGTCAAACGCCAAAGTAGAAAGAATAATTTATAATATTAACAGGATTAAAAATCAAGATCGAAATCGATTTAATAATAAGAATGTTGCTGCAATAATGCATGGAAAAGAGGGGCTACGACAGTTGGAAGGGGGATGTCGCACATTTGATCCTGACAGAAGTATTATCAAATTCATGGATTCAAAACAACTTTATGAAAATGTTACCCAACTTATAGACGAAGAATTTTAAGTTTAATTTTCATTTTCTTATTTTAATTTTTTTATTATATTTTTATTTAGAATTTAATTTAAAAAAAAAAAACCTTGGTCCCTTGAATAAATGGTGGTTTCTTTGTTATTTTTATTATTTAATCAAGGAAACATTAATGTTTTTACGTTGTAACACGACAGCAAAAAAAGTATAATAGATTTCTAATATTTCTCGTTCTCTTTTGGTAGAATTCAGTAGATTTCAACCTTCACAAGCAGTAGATTCGTCAAATGAAATCTGGTCACACTTGCTGTCACAGTACAATTTTGTATTGAAAAATGAAAAAGGACCTAAGTACCTACCTACATACCTACTTCAACAAATTTTTTATTCCTTTTTGCCGGGACAGGTTTTTATTTCATGGTATAGGTTCATCAAAGATATAAATTGAATAAATAAATAAGAAATATGTCTTTCGTTTTGCTAAGTTCAATTGTTCTTGCATTCTACACGGTTATATGGTTTTTTGATTCATTTTTCAAAGTAAGCTTTGTTTATTATTGTTTTATTGAATTTGATCACTTGAATTTGTACATGTTATTAGGTTTCATTGCATTTCTTCTTTCAGAGTTGTATGCACTATCCATATTATGCATTTTTAGAAGGAACGGGTTTAAAATTTGGAATACTGAACTTTTCTTGGACGACAACTGCTTTTAACAGATGCCTTTATAGATGGAGTAAGAATTTGTCTCGAATACTCAGAAAATGGTTCACGTGCGGTTACATTCTTGTAATCTGGATATTCTTGCCTTTCGCTATATGGACTTTGCTCTCATTTATTTTTGAGCATTTTTATGATACAATACAGCTCAATAATGTACCAGAAGTCAAAGCAATGCTCCCTGGTATAAATATCCCGACATCAGACTTTTGGATTTATTTTCTAGCTATAGCATTGAGCACTATATTCCATGAACTAGGACATGCTCTTGCAGCTGCTCAAGAGGATGTTCAAATAATAGCAGTAGGAGTTTATGTATTTACTATTATACCAGTTGCATTTGTAGACTTGAATACTGATCAATTAAAGAATCTTGCTGTCACCAAAAGATTGAGGATTTACTGTGCTGGAGTGTGGCATAATATTGCAATTGCATTTATGGCTATCTTATTATTTTTCTCTGCTCCGATACTGTTTAATATTGCATATGAAACGGGAACGGGTGTAAGAGTCACTGACCTTACAGAAGACTCACCATTAAAGGACAGCATAGGCTTGCACAAAGATGATGTAATAACATCAATAAACAACTGTAAGATCAAAGTTGCAAGTGATTGGATGCAATGTTTGCAATTAGCACATCAGAGGTATGGAATTTGTACAAGTGCTGAATTTGTTGCCCAAAATGATGAGATCATGATGGAGAACATAAAAGAGAATGATGTGGTAGAATGTTGTAGACCAGAAGAAGCATATAATCATTGTTTTGAGTATATGGAGCCTAAAGTAGCATCTGATTCAGTTTTACCCGGACAATACTCATGCCTCAAACCCAGAGATATGGTGAAGAATCAGTTTGTAAAATGTACAGAATCTGGAGGATACTCTTGCCCAAGAGCCATGCATTGTATGAGACCTTCACTAAATAATGTATCCTACCTCCTAATAATTGAACGAAAGGAGAACAATCCAGTTCTGTATTTAGGGTTGCCGTATGATTTACACAAAACTGTATTTGTCGACCAGTATTTCCCCAGACTGAAAGTATTTTCATTTTTTTCCCCTTCTCGGTTTGAGAAGCTCCTTAGATACATATTCATATTTTCTATGGGTATCGCATTTTTGAACGTCTTACCATGTTACAGTATGGATGGACACCATATAGCTCGTAACTTGATACAAATTTTAGCTAAATATTTAAATAAAAATGGTGATTTTGTAACATTCTTTACAGTATTCACTGTAGTTATAGGCACAGGTGTGACTGGGCCCATTTTAATATATTTGTTCTACAAAGCTGTATATGAAGATAATTAGCCTTAAGCCATAATGTATTGTGAACTAAATTACATTATATGGTCATACTTTTTAACCTTACTATCACTCAATGTTCTGTGAAAGAGCTTTACAGAGAAACGTGTAAGACTTTGATGGCCAGGTGAATTTTTAAATTAGATATAATCTGTACTGATATATATCTCTATTATATCTGTATAATCTGAACTGTACACTCTGATGTCATACGACAACAAAACTGGCTATGGCGTTGGTTATCTCCGACATGAGTTATTGTGTCAGAGACAACCGTTTCATTAAGTATTTTTAAAGTACAGTAAGATTTGTATTTTGAGTTACACATATAATAGCAGATGCACAGGATGACATATTTTGTGTGACTCAAAAAACCTGCCTTTGATTGTGTTCACATTGACTACTAATACTGTTTCATGAAACAACTAAATTAATGACAACCTCCTCCAGGCATGTTGACAATTGTGTCATTACTGCACCCTCTTTAAACCAGAATAAATTACTGCTCTGCAGCAAAAATAGGCAGGGCAGTGGTACCTTCTCATGTAGTCTTACAAGACGGCATCTTGTAATATAAATTATGCATATTATAATCTTTGTGGATTTAACTATATTTAATTGAAGTTATTCCTTTACTGAATTCATTGAGAAATGAAGGTGTGTTAACTATGTGTGTACTAGTAAAATTAGTACTTGTGAGATTTGAGACTCAATACAGTTGCATAACTTGATATGAGTTCACCAGGCATCTCTTTAGGTCATAGCGACTAATATAATATTTTTATTATAATTTCTACTGAAAAAGAAAATCATTAATTGGTTATTGTAAAATTTCATATATTAAATTTATTATTTAAACATTTCCATACTATTTATTATCTATATACATAATCGTCTTGTTAGATCTAGTCTAAATTAATGAAATGTTTCTGTTAGTGTTATACAGTACTGTGATAGTTTATAATTTTTATATGTTTCTGAATGGTATTATCGATTTAATATCACTATAATATAATGGTAGCATTTGTGTCATTACTTTGTTTGCACTTTTATTTAGTTCAGTTTTTTAACTTTCTTTAGGGTGAAGAGTGTGTATTTAGAACTGACATGTATTACTTATTGTTTTTGATGTTATGCTGACTGGCTTTTTTTCTAAATGAATATTTAAGATTACAAATTAACTACTCACTTCCATTAAACACTTGTTTGACCACTACGATGAACTAAATGGATTTAAATATAAAAAAAGTTATTTGACCGATATGACCACAATTGAAACATCACTACTTGTTATAATGTAAAACTTCAGAAAATCTACAAACAGCCTATCTTAAAATGATAATATATATTTTGATTTATTTAATTATGTAGTTTATGTTAGCTTTGACTTAAAGCAAGTGTATGTTGCAAATCCTTTAGTGTTTTTTTTCCATAGTGCAACATGGTTTTGATTGTAGTTTCATCTGTATGATGTTTATTGTTCTTGAAGTCAGATTGAGCCCATTGCTTAAGTTCGATTCTGGTCAGTTCATCGGGCACGAGTCGTATCGTACGGATTATGTCTCTATATAATCTTAATACTTCTTGACGCAGAAGAAACTGCAAAAGGAATAAATATTATGAATGAAGATTATATTTTTTTAGTTTGTTCATGTCGATTTTCGTCAATTAATTCTTCCAGTCATTAATTAGTTTTATTTTTCATTAGGGTGGTCGAGCTCATAGCACACCTGACGCTCAGCGATAGATCACAATTTTGTAGTCTCATTGATTTTTAACAGTCGACTATTACAGTCACGAATTGCACTATTGCAAAACTAAATATCCACCTGTTTTAAATTCAAAGTTGCTTTTGGCAATTTCGTAGACATTTTAGTATAGCGTTTTATGTAAGTTAATCATTTTTAAAGTTTAAAATTTAAATTTTCTTCCGAACTTTACATATCAATATCTATTTGGTAAAATTTGGTTACATATTTTGCTTTTGACGTTGTTTTAATTTGATTAATCCAGTCAGTAGGCAAAGGAATCATCGTTCAGACATCCAACTTTTATAATAAAGACTTTTTAGATATTAAATAAAATAAAATGAGACAAAACAACACGGTGTTGAATAACAAGAAATAAAGATCGGTTAGGTATATTTTACTAGAGGACGAGAGTTCGTGGGAGGCCATGGCCAGATTTTGCGACCTGGTCATGGCGTTCCGCGAGGCTGAGGAGCGCGAAAGGGAGTGGAATCCCTCTTCGGCTCCTTAGCGAAGAAGGCGGGGTGGGCGACGCGGGCACGATGCTCCCGTTAATCTCCCGTAGGGACTGTTGGGTACTGGGTGCGGGGGCGCCCGGTGCTCTGCTGTCGGTTCCGTGGTGAGGCGGCGCAAGGTGGCTCCTATGCGCCACTCACGGTGTCTCCCGAGACGACGACCTGCGGGATCTTCCCGGGGATTGGATCCCGTCCTATTGTCAGGACGGGTACCGGCGACGGCGAGCCTGCGGCGCGTATTGTGCGGTACCGTAGGTTTCGTGGAGTCGGAGTGGTGGAGCTCGATGGGGTTTAGTCGGTAGTCGGTTTTGCGGGGCGGGTCCTGCGTGGTAGATGCCGCGCAGCGCCTCGCGCGCCTTTCTCAAGGCGTAGTCTCCCGGTAGGAATTGGAAGAAGAGGAGGACTTTGGTCTTCCTCTTCTTCTCTGGAGGCGCCGGAGTCCGACATAACCCGGTCTATTACCCCTCTCGACCGGGTATCCGTAAATGGATTCTCCAGCGTTAAAAAAAAGGTATATTTTACCGCGCCTGTCCACTCCCACAGAAGATAAATGATTAATATGGCAACATTATTGCACCTGCAAAATTTAAATACGAAGACCCCTAAATTGTCCAAAACTTACAAAATTAAATTAAATGATCTCAGTACTTTTTATTGTCTTAGATTGATGAACGAAATCAGCCTTGTTCGTATTATTACCGGAGCTGATTAGTTAATACTACCACTGCCTTGTGAGACTGGATCGAAATGTATATTAATGTTGTTGTGGCGATAGCCATCATAGAACACAGGATATTTAATGATCGATGGCCGAGTCTCGCTGTTGGAGTTTGAATATGTAAGTATTGGCAGGCAACACTTGTCCCATGTGAAGTAACAGTTTTCGAATATTGGAATGTTTAAAACAGATGATTATCTTCTCTTCAGTGAGGACAATGACTTCTCATCTAGACACAGACAGTGCAATATCAAGGGTTTTGTAAAAATAAAATGTAATGGTGTAATAGTGTAAAAAGTATTTGCAATATAATTGTATTAACCATGAAGCAGTGTTTTTTAAATAGCGCCTCACCTACAGAACCCAGTCCCTTCAAATTTAACGCCTACGAAATGTTCAAGATAAGCATTGCAGCTTTATAAAAATTCCGAGCAGCAACATTAAGACCGTCAGTCTATAGAGCAATACCACCCGTTTCGTGGAAATTTTCGCTTTGTCTATAAAACCTCCGAAAGTGTTGTATAGTGAATGTAACAAACTTTCGGAACGACTTATAGCTTCGTTGCTGATTTTTCACGGAAGTTACTGGTATCAACTCGAATCAAATAAATACAAATACGTTCCACCACTAAATGTCAATCGCAGTACGCTGGAATAATACATTTCGGGAACGATTCGCTTTCAGCCCGGATGGTGATCTGTGTGCTTAGTGCGAGTTTCTTAACATTCTCGATAACGTTAAAGTTAGCCCTATTTTGCAGTTGCAAGAGCACCCCTAGCGGCAAACGTACGCAAACGATCCCATTCCATACAAATATGAGCTAACTTTTACGTTATTGAGAACGTTATAAAACTCACACTAAGCACACTGATTGATGTCACTCAATTCTTCTATCAACAGAGTTTTTTTTTTTATGATTGAAGGATTACTGGTGGCCCGTAGGCCTTTCCAGTTTCACCAGGACAGGTGGGCGAGCAAAGGCTCAGCCAGGAGGGGTGGGATTTGCTAACAGCTACCCGAGCGCCTCCGAAGGAGACCTAACAACTCAAGAGCAACTGCTTCGCGAATGAATCTACTACCGGATCGGAATCGCGACCCGCTGAGAAGATCCGGCGAGAAAGTCAGCGAGCTGATTCATGAGTTAGGTTGCACGGCGAACTCTTTGTCGAGTTCGACGAGTACGGTTACCGGGGTCCCTAAGCCTGCTCCTAGTGTTAGAGTTGAAGGCGTCTAATGAAAAGGTTATTGCATCAGGTGGATCCGTAAGGACGTGAATCAACAGAGTTCTGCATATCAGCAGATATGCGTTTCCGTAGAATTAGATCATTGTTTTTTGATTGAATTCTCCTCCACAAGGTTTCATCGTCTTTCAATTGAAGTTAATCGTGGTCAAAATAATAACATGTAAATTTTAAGACCCTATCTATAAAACAATAATAACAAGATCCGTAGAAGAATTCACGAGACTGAAGATTCTAAATTTTTTTTGTGTTTGGCATAGGTATTTTAACTACGGTTAACGCGGTATACAAGAGTGGTAGCGAATCACTGCTTTAAGCTATAGTAGTACTAGACTCCAAATTCTTACTGGTGGTAGGGACCTCTTGTGAGTCCGCACGGGCTGTGAGCTCGTCCACCATCTAAGCAATATAAAAAAATAAAAAAAGCGTAAGTGACAATGGGTGGAGGAAAAGGTGCTTAGAATCAAAGGTAGTTAATACAATGATTTTTAAGTAAATGAAATTAAGGAAACGTTACTTAAAAACAATTACAATTAAACACATTTTTTAAGATTTTCTTTATTGTTGTTAACAGGAAATTTCTCGACATTTCTAAGTTATTGATGTGTGGTGAAGTTAAGTATTGTACTAAACGAAATATTTAAGAACTTAAAAAAAATGGTTGTAGGCGTAGGTTGTAGGTACATAATTATGATTGAATATATACATATTATTTTTATTTGGTATAAAGATAAATACAAAAATGCAGCTATTTGTGTTTTCTCCGTCCATGCACCAGAAGCTCCGCCCAAAGTGCGAGCGAGCGCGGGAAACAAGCTTTTCACAGCTAGTGGTTCAAACGACCAATCATGGCCGATAACAGTCGCGTTTGAAACTTCGCGTAGTTTGGATGTGTTGTCAGTTGCGTCAGAACGAATGAAAACTCGCGCGCGACGTAATGTTTGCGAGATTCTAAGTTTTAGATTTAATCATTTTAGTTTTTGAATCTTATCTTATATTATTTAGTGTTTGTGTATATTGAAAATGGATAATAATTCGTCAACGAAAACTCCGCCTCTTGGAGTGAAAAAAGAAAATGAAGAAGAAATCAAGGTAAGATTACAATACCAAGTCAATATTTTTAAGAGTTTGACATGAGTTTCCGTTTGGGACATCGTGTTACCGTTTCGTGTTATTGGCAATCAGCCTACATAGTATATGCTTGTAATGGGAGAACTAAGAATCTTATTTTTAAATATGATATTTATTCGTGAGGGGACCTCCACAAAGCACGCCGATGCGGGGTTCAAACGAATAAATTATTCGGTTTTCGATTACATTATTAATTACATTTCGCCATACAATAAAACGCGTGTAATATCGCGTTTTCGAGGCCTTTTCCAGCCATTAAAGTGTGTAATGCGATATCCGAAGCTCGCTCGGATCGCTGTAACCAGAGTCGCTGGATGTTTTGATAATAGATATAGGCGGTTTGGCCGTGCTGGTGTGTACATACGCGCGCGCCTCGCCAGATGTGTGCGTGCGGGGTAATTTTAGACGTTCCTTTGCTGAAAACGTAACACGAGACGGTCCCAGGCCGCAGGCCGACACTTCAATTTATTGTTTTCATCTTCTCATAACAATTAATTGTCGTTCGATAATTAAGTTTAATGGTGTTGACTGTCGAACGCGGCGTGAGTAATTCGCGCGCTTTTATTTTGGCGCCGCAGAAATAGTTTGACAAGTCAATAACCCCATTGGTGTCCACGCGTCGGTGACGTCACGGGACACCCGCGTAGTTCGCGAAAGTTTGAGGTCGATTTAATTTATAATATTACTATTCTACATGTCCTACATACACACACTATAATAATATGTAATGTGTTTTATTTCGGGTATTTTAATGCTGTTGGAACGTTGTGGTATATTTCTGCGTATTATTTTACCTCGGCTGGGTGCAAAAGGTAATTTTGGATCATATCTCTTGTGCTATAAAACGTAGAACGGAATCAAATTAAATGTAGCTCAATAAAATTGTAACTGTCACGATGAAATTAGAAGCATACTAGTTAGCACAGCACTAATGCATCAAAATGCTAGAGTGGCAGTCACACAAATAATATCCAGTTATCTTGATTTATTTCTGTGGTGGCAGTGTTGCAAAGGCGATCGACTACGACCATAAATCTAATAACTGATCTGTTAACTGCTACGAATGCTCATAACGCGTTATTATGCGTTCTAAATTAGTACCATGTGCACAAACTACCGACGCTTTTCAACCATAGAGAATGAAAATCAAAACTTAAGATTCACACAGACTATAAAAAAATTATAAATATTAATCCTCCTCCTCGCGTCCTTTTCCTCATTACTGAGGGTCGAGACTCCCCCGCTGCATCAGTTTCTCCCATACGACTTCCCTCCATCTGCCGCGATCCTTTGCTTCATGAAGGGCATTATGGAAATTGATGCTCAGAGAAGATCGTATTTGGTCCGACCATCTCCTGGGACTGCGTCCTCTGGGACGTTTGCCATCTACCTTTCCTGTCACCATCAGCTGTTCAAGATTGTGACCCTCTTTACGAGCAATATGTCCGAAGAATTCCAGCACCCTCCGAAGGCATATAGTGGAAAGTCTGGCTTTGTACTTGTATAAATATTAATAACATGTTTCTTTTGAAATAAAATTAAAGTACCTATTAGTTATACCGGTTAGTTGTAAAAGATGTGACATCCTTCAAACCGAAAAGTATTACGGCAGAAAAAGGCAAGATTGATATCTACGCGTCCAGGTCCAACAGACACCCTACCACCACTACATAAGCTATTATTCGTACGGGTTTGATTTTTATTACACGATGCTACTTCTGTATCGTGGAAGACATACGTGAACATGTGTTGAGAATTTGAATTCGCCACCCACCTTGAGATATAGGTTCTAAAGTCTCAGTATAGTTATAATGGCTGTCTCACTCTTCAAGCCGAAACGTATTACTTTTTCACGGCAGAAATAGGCAGGGTGGTGGTGCCTACCCGTGCGAACTCACAAGAGGTCTTACCACCAGTACCCTGGTACAGTCGCATCGTTCGATACGAGTACACCGGGCATCCTATAGTTTAGGCTACGACCACTTAAATACGCACAACTCACCTCTTTTTCGAATGTAATATATTTCATAATTATTATATGTCAAATATTATATTGTACTTAAGTACATGAATTTTGTACTTTAAAAAAAATTGAGTACAAGAAGTGTGACGTATTTCAATATTTTTTTCGGCACGGGGTCCCCCCTATCTCCTTTGAGTTTACTGCGCTTAGAGTGTGCGTGGATATATGAATCTCGATGGCCAAAGATGTTAAGAGCCCACTAAACGATGGTTCTGCATTCTCGCCCGACGCTTGACGCTCTTCCGAGACAGAAGCTGAGCAAGGATACCACGGTCATCAATACATAGGACGCGAAGCTCATCCCAAAGACGCCCGGCCGGCTGAATCAGTTAGACGATAATCGACGACTTTATAATGATCATCACGGTACGGCAGGCCATTAGGCCACCCTGTGCAATGCTGCTGTGTCTCGGAATGGCCCGCTGGACCTGAACCAGTCAGGTGTTTTTCTTTATTGATTGGGTGGACGAGCTCACAGCCCACCTGGTGTTAAGTAGTTACTGGAGCCATAGAAATTTACAACGTAAATATCGCCACCCACTTTGAGATATGAGTTCTAAGGTTTCGTAAATCTGCCCTACCCTTCAAACCGAAACGCATTACTGCTTTACGGCAGAAATAGGTAAGGTGGAGGTACCTACCCGTGCGAACTCAAAAGAGGTCCTACCACAAGTAAAAAAGTCGTCACGTATCTACCTATTAAAGAAAATTTTACACTCGAAATGATACAGAAATTACTTAAATTCGTGCGGAAGAGGAACTTACAAAGAACCCGACTTAACGCTATGTGGGTAATAACCACAAAAATAACATATAACTTTTTGGCGGAATTGTGAAGGAACAAAGTTGTGTGAATTGTTTTATTCTGTTGGTTCTGCTTTTCTTGAGTTTTAAACAAGTAATAGTGTGGCTTATCAACCGTTTAAGCATCTGTGAAAGTGCATAAATGTGGGAGAATAAAATAAAGTAGCTGGACTCGGCTTTCTCAATTCCTCCAAAAAGAATACTGAAGTTTACTTGGAAAAAATATAAATGAACCGACAACACGGCGTACGCATCAGATTCCGATCATGCAGACTCATGATAGTGATGAGCGTTAAACTTCCAAATCAGTATTTGTAACGCCAGAAATAATTAATTGTCAGTCTGTAGTCGATACAAGGAAAATATTTAGGTACATTTTGGGTTTGGTACAATTGTTTAGTTTGATCCGGTCATCTCTTTTTTAATACGCTTTTATTAGCTTTAGACGTATGTATGTTAGTATGTTACGGAATCTTTGAACATGATTTTGACCCTCTTCAAAACGTCTGATTAACTCGAAATTTGGCATACTTATTAAAAAATTCAACTAAAAAATGAAAAATAAATAATAGTTTTATAATTTTTTTAAAAAATACGCTTTTATAGAAAATCCATTTTTTAAACTATTTTAATATGACGCTATCAGTACCATGAATGTGTTTTGCTACACACCAACCAACATTCAAAGGAACTTCGTTCTACAGTGTTCTCTAAGTACTAACCATAGGATTGAAGTTATCGCGGCCCAAAGGATAAGGCGCTATGAGCATTCGTATTGAGCGATACGACTGTGCCGATGTTCGAATCCATAGGCAGGTACCAATTTATCTAATAAAATACGTGTTTAACAAATATTCACATATGAATTTTAGGGTGAAGGAATGACAACGTGTAATTAAAATCAAACCCGCAACAAAAATATTCGCGTAATTACTGGTACCTGCACTATTTCTATCGTGAAGCAGTAATGCGTTTGGGTTTGAAGGATGGGGCAGTCGTTATACTGTAAAACGGAGACTTAGAGAACTCCCGTCTTCAGATGAGCTCCGATGAACATTTAACACCAAGTGGATTACGAGCCTTTCCACACATCTAATTAATAAATAAAAAATAATTTTTAAAACATATATACATAGTAATTTAAACAAAATATTTAAAATTTAAACGTCTTATTATCTATTTATTAGGTTTAGATGCATAAAGTCATGTCTTATTTTTAACTGACTTCAGAAAAGGAGGAGGTTCTGAATTCGACTGTATGTTTTTTTATGTTTGTTACTTCATAACTTTTGATTGGGTGAATCGATTTTGATGATTCTTTTTTTTTTCGGTCGGTCGGTCGTCCGGTTCGGAAGTCGGTTTTTGTTAAAGCATGTCTGTTTACAATTATCCGATATGCGAACAAATGTTAGGAGGTACACAGAACAGGTGATCACATCCACATTAGCACTACCACAATCTCAACCTTTCAATGGCCACGCGCCTGTGCCGTAGTCAATTAAAAACACAGTAACTCAAGTACGCTAAGTCACGTACACAGAGTAAATATCATATCCGAATTACAGTTAGCAACAGAAATGAAACGTGGATTTATAATGCGAAAACGTTCTAAATGCAAATAACAGTAATGCATCCACATCCGTCACGTTCGCATAAAGACCAATAGCGCTGAGTCACGTTAAAGCAAACAGCTTGCGGTATGTATTACCGAAATGCACGCGATCCAATTTCTAGGTATTCGGTAAGTAATGTGGACGGACAGTTTTTACTATTTTGCGATTTCAGCGTTCACTTCGCAATATTACCTGGTTTTATATTACAGCGTAGCTTGTTAATAAAAAAAAAAACCAAACATTTTCAAAGAGATAATTTTCCGAACTATTCGAAACGGATTCATATTGTGAGATCATTTATTTTGTAAAGCTAAAGGCGGAGACGGCAACTGCCCCACCCTTCAAACCGAAACGCATTACTAATTCACGGCAGAAACAGGCAGGGCGGTGGTACCTACCCGTGCGGACTCACAAGACGTCTTACCACCAGTAATTACGCAAATAATAATTTTGTTTTTTTATTTTTAATACACGATGTTATTCCTTCACCGTGGAAGTTAATCGTGAACATTTATTAAGTA